AAATAAGTGACTCTTTATTAGGCCCGAGAACTGTCGACAGTCTAGTCTGGCTTATGTTGGAGAATGTCTTACAGAAACAAAACACTCTTGTTTAGCAGTGCAACTTTTCATACCTATGCCAAAATGAAATAATGACAACCTTTATTGATATCGTATCCCTTCTGGGATCTAGATTAGAATACAATAAGGATATAAGGAACAATAAAATACATAAGGAATAATGAAAAAAAAAAATAGTAAAATAAATAGTAATACTGGGAAATTGTTATATAAATTTTTTTGGTGTTATTTTGAGGCAGCTGGTAAATTGCATTTCATGAAGTTCTCTCTTTTAGTAAAACAGTCACTGATAAACTTGGCAATTGCTTGGACAGTTTTAGAATTTTTGTAATGTATTAAGGGATGAGTGGAATATATTGCTGTAAAAGTTGATGATAGTGAACTTAAAATAATCTTTGTTGTCATGGAGACAACATAAAGTATACATGTTCAATTTGTAAAAAGATGCTCATGATGGAAAACTGGTTTTAAAATTCCTCCTCTTTTGTGTTGCAAGTGTGTAAAGTAACATTTCAGCCATAGAAATGCTAGGGGAAATAGAAACTTGTCTACAAAATAAATCTCATTTACCAGTTGTTTCTGTTGTATGTTTTGTTTTGGTGGTATGGTATTGTTTTTATTCAGTAGTTTAACAAATTTATTTTCAATTAATGTATGCAACATGTTCAAGGCTGGTCTGCAAGTGGTTAATTGAAGCTTGGATTTATTTTACTGTGAGCTCGTTTGATTCATTCAATTTTATCAGGGAACTGTTACCTTATTTAAGTCTTCTCCTTTGAACTTAAATTCCATCATTTTTGACATCATACACATTAATTTTTTTTTCTTTGCAGAGAACTTCGATAAACATGATAATTTAGGTATAGATGCATCCAAAGTCAATGTACAGTTTCCTATTTTATTATGGTGGACAGGATTTACTGGAGAAAGAGGAAGGGTTAAAACATGTGGTCTGGATAAATGTTTCTTCACAGTTGATCGACATTATTCTGAGCATCCAAAAACAAAAGTGTTTATGTTCTATGGTACCGACTTTAAATCAAATGATCTACCATTACCACGGCAACCACACCATGAATGGGCTCTTCTACATGAAGAATCACCTAAGAATAATTATAAATTGACACAGCCGGAATGTCTGAGTCTTTTTAATCATACTTCAACTTTTAAAAGAGAATCAGATTTTCCGATCACAACACAATATCTTAGAGATTTATCTGACCTCACAAGTACTGAGTATATGGTCAAAACAAGTGAGAAAAGTAAGAATGGATTGGCACCTGTTGTCTATGTACAGTCTGATTGTGATCCACCATCTGATCGAGATAGTTACGTTAAGGAATTGATGAAGTACATCAAGATAGATTCATATGGGAAATGTCTTCATAATAAAAATCTCCCAGAAGAACTTGTTGACCCCTTGACGATGGACAATCAACAATTTTATGCAATCCTTGCTAAATATAAATTTCATATTTCTTTTGAAAATGCTATTTGCAATGATTATATTACTGAAAAATTGTGGAGAAGTTTCAAGATTGGAACAGTGCCAATATACAGAGGGTCTCCAAATATCAAAGACTGGCTGCCGAGTAAGACATCTGCTTTAGTTGCGGATGACTATTCAAGTCCACGCGAACTTGCAAAGTACATCGATTACCTTAACGAAAATGATTCAGAATATGATAAGTATTTAGAATATAAAAAAACTGGTATTACCAACTCAAACTTATTATCAGTGATGAAAAAACGAAATTGGGGTGTAAACGACTATACAAAGATGAACTTCATTGATGCCTTTGAATGTTTTGTTTGTAATCAAGTTCATAGGAACAATGAGGCCTCCTTAAAAGGGGTTGAAAAGCAAATCTCCATTAGTAAGGCAGACCACTATGATTGCCCCAGACCTCGTTATTTCAATGATGGTTATACAAACAGATATATTGATATGTATCAACATATATATGACCAAGGAAGATATGAAGCAATGGCCTTAAATTATTTCATACAGGCCAGGATGAACTTCACTAAATCGGAACTTCGCGAATATGCGTTACAGCTCAGAAGGAATGAAAAGAAACTTTGAACTTTGGATAGTGTAGTGTAATGCATTCTTGAGGGTGATTGTTATTACACCAATGTTGTGGGTAATATAAAACGTGCCGTCTAGTGACCAGGGACCCTTCTGTGATGTTGAAATGAAATATAGTAATATTTCTCGAAAACATTATCACCAATAATGGACTACTGCACATGCTCCGTCACCAGAGGGCGCCATTCATAGGAAGAGAATATCATGATTACATCTGTCTTGAATTATTTTATACAATCCAGAATGGACTTCACTCAGTTGGGAATTTGTGAATATGCTTTATAGCAGAGAAGGCATGAAATGAGACTTGTATAAAACTTGCCATAGTGTAGTTTTGTGGGCAACTGTGATAACTAATTAAAATAGAGGAAATCAGTTCATACAACGGCAACATAACATACATCAGTGTGACTGAAATATTATTACACTAATATATTATATACTACCGTAACGTTTTCAAATAACATATAAACAGTTAGTAAAGTTGTTTTTGTGGCAAAACGTATTTGAAAGCCTTTTCAATTTTAAGTTAGTCAAAAATCATATCAGAAAGTTTGTCTTCACTACATCCCATCATGTATTGCTGAATTTGAACCTACTACATGTATATACTTGCGACACTCGTCTTCGGCCTTTTTCAAGTTATTCGGTTCAGGCTGCTAGCTAATTGCCATAAATATTTTAAAATATGGGCTTATGATGATGAGTGTCACCTACATCAATTTGTAAGAAACCTAAGAAGATACAACACTACTGCGTGTATCTGTATAGTTGTAAAACGCATACAAACTCAGATAATAATGTTTATTAGTTGGGAAGGTTCAAATACTTGTTCGACACATGAATTCTGTATGATTTAATTTATTTTTACTGACAGCTTGCATAATGTACGAGACGAAGGTGAAAAATTGGATGTAATTATGTACATAAAGATGGAGCTTCGCTATATACAAGGAAATAAATTTAATCAAATTTAAATATATAATTTTCAATGTGCATTAAACCCAAGGTATTTTACTAATGTGCGAAACCTGCCTAACATGCAACGATGATCTGCTTTGATGAAAGAGGCGTTATCAACCAAATCACGAGCTGCAAGTTGCACATGTTAGCTTCAACTCTAACAGAAGGAATTAAGTTGGTTATACACAAGGACAATGAAAATCAAAATACAAACATAATACCGGTAGACAATCATATTTACTAAATGAATAATAATACAAACTTATTGTAGAATTTTGCCATCCCAATTCTCCACAAATACCTATAATTGGGATGTTCTTTTTCACTCCAAGTATGAACCTTAAATAACGCAGATGAACATCCGCCAAATCTGAATGTATGTGATTTTGGGATCCCCAAATGTAGCTCCCAAAAACTAGGATTGGGTAAATTAATTTGCTAAACAATGATGTTAATTGTATGTCTGGTACATGTCCAACTTTTTAAGGCGAATAGGCATATTTGTTCCTTCTTTTCTCGCTTTTCATTTATTTTTTAATTTTCCATTGGCAATAAAAAATATTCCCAGATAATTAGCTCTTGCCGGATCTGTGATCTAGGCGGGGGGTATTAATTTGGGTCGTGTCTGTGCTTCTGTGTGTGCACATTCACGTTACCAGCTTTTTCTCACACATGTGTGATCCAATCCAATTCAGTTCAGAGTTGGTACAGAGACAGGAATTGGTGGTGTTATTAGGCACATCAAGTTATTTTTTCGATTCTTCAAAGTTTCACTGTGTTTTTATTCGATTTTTAAAATTTTTCCTTCAAAATTGCTGGGAAATCCGACTTTTCCCGAAATTACCTGGGTTTAATTCGAGTTTTGATGATGCATGCACAGTTCTCGTCTCGGTGGAAATCAGTCATTTTTGTGTGAGGATATTGTATCACGGAATTGTATCTTTATTTGCGCTTATATGTACAAAATTCTGTCTCGTCAATTTCAAAGGTAAGAAACTGTATTATTATGGTATTTATACATGTAATGTACTTTACCATGCAAGTTAATTTGACAACAGCGCCTCTACGTTACTTAGTAACTATGCTATTTTTAGATTATGCAAATAAAGCTGTTCTGTACATGGCCGCCATTTTTGGATTGTTATTACTGTAGAAGACTTTATTTTCGCTTGGAATTTCGCTATTTTCACTGGAAGGATGATTCCATGAAAATAAAATCCAGCGAATATACTTTTTTTCCTATATTTCACATTAAACTCATCAAAAATCAGTGAAAATAAATTCCATACAAAACGCCCAAAAAGCCTTTTCAGCGAAAATTAATTCAAGCGAAAAATAAAGTATTTCACAGTATGTAGTCTGCTGGTCAATTCTTTTAAATACACAGCACATCTTGGCAACGAGGATGCTAGATTTTTCTACCAAAAACTGAGTGAAGATACAGAGTGGAACAAGAGCTGAGTGGAACTGAATTTCAGGCATTTCTTAAATATTTTTTGTGACAAAAGAAGAAAGTGACTGTGCAACCAAAACAGTAACTTGCAGTCTTCACTTCACTGCTAATGACATTCCAGAGCCCAAGAAATTGCCAGGTTTACTTAGCCTCATGGGTTCTAAGATTACCTATGCCCTTCTTAGAAATCTTCTCTCTCATGATAGACCAACTGACAAAACATTTGATCAAGTTGTGGATATTTTGGGAAAACATCTGTCTCCCAAGCCTTTGATAATAGCGGAGAGATTCCGTTTCTTCAAACGAGACCAACACGTAGGTGAATCTGTCAATAGCTATGTTGCTGGCTAGCTAAGTCCTGTGATTTTGGCAACTATTTAATAGACTCCTTGCATGACAGATTGGTGTGTGGTTTACGAATGGATGCAATACAAAAGCGCTTACTGAGGGAAGACAAAATAGTCCTTAATACTGCCATAGAGATCGCTGTAGCTATGGAAACTGCAGACAAGGATCAACTGGAAGTGAAAGGACAGGCAAGAGTAGAAACATCCATAAACAAAGTAAATCATAAATGGAAGCTCCCAACCACAAGTAGTAAACCATGCTATAGATGTGGAAGAAAAGGGGCATACACCATAGCAGTGTAAATGTAAGGATGCAGAATGCCACAACTGTAAGAAAAAGGGACACATACAGAAAGTCTGTCATTCCAAAGGAGACAGGTCCAAGGAAAAGTTCATGTCTTAGATGAGAATGTTGATAGTGATATTCTGGGAACTATACATGAAGTCAATGTTATTGACAAACCATGCAGTCAACCAATATGGATTACCCCACTGGTGGAAGGTAAATCTATCCAAATGGAATTGGATACTGGTGCGTCTGTGTCATTAATTTCTAATAATGACTATGAGAAATATTTCAAAGGAATGAGGTTGAGAAAAAGTTCCATCACTTTAAAGGCATTCACTGGTCACAAGTTAGACATCAGAGGGAAAATAGATGTAACTGTAGACTACAAGGGTAAGACACATTGCCTAGAATTGTATGTTCATAATGACAGTGAAAGAAATCCAATATTTGGACGAGAATAGCTGTACAAAATACAACTCAACTGGCAAGATATCAAATCAGTAAGAAGTACATCCAGTACCAAACCAAGTAAGTCTACTACATCTATTGACACAAAATTAAAACCCTTGTTAGATAAATACTCAGACATTTTCTGAGATGAACTAGGAACCATGAACGGGATCAAAGCAAAACTAGTAGTTGATGAAAATGCCCAGCCAAAATTTAGTAAGCCACGGCAAGTACCTTATGCAATTCGACCAAAAGTTGAAGCTGAATTTGACCAACTGGAAGAGGAAGGAATCGTCTCCAAAATCAATTATAGTTAATGGGCAACCCCTTTAGTACCAGTTGCGAAAACGAATGGTACAGTACGTACCTGTGTGACTATAAAGTGACTGTCAATTCTGTGTTACAAGTTGACCAATACCCATTGCCCAGAATTGAAGATATATTTTCTGAGCTTGCAGGTGGTCAAAAGTTCACTCGAATTGATTTACGTCAAGCATACCACCAGATGGAATTGGATGATGAATCAAAAACATTTCTCGCAATTAACACATCAAAGGGATACAATCTTCTAGTATTTGGCATTGCCTGAGCACCAGCAATTTGGCAGCATTCCATTGAACAAATTCTACAAGGAACAGATCGTACAAAATGCATAATAGATGACATGGTCATTACAGGCAAAGATGATGATGAACATTTAGCTAATATTGAAGCTGTATTGCAACGACTGCAAGAATACAATCTACGAGCTAATCTTAGTAAATGTAAATTCTTCCAAGATAGCATTGAGTTCTGTTCACACATCATTGACAAAGATGGACTCCATATGACACAAGAGAAAATCAAGGCAGTGGTAGAAGTACCAAAACCTGAAAATGTCACTCAAGTACGTGCATTTCTTGGCTTAATAAACTACCACCACTGATTCTTACCTGATCAGGCAACGGTGCTGCACCCACTAAATCGGTTACTAGAGAAAAACCATCAATTTCAGTGGACTGAAAATTGTGACAACGCGTTCACAAAAGCAAAGAGGTTAATAACCTCTGACAAAGTTCTCGCTCACTATGACCCTGACCTACCAATTAAAATCGCATGTGATGCATCACCCCATGGATTGGGGGCAGTGCTATCTCATGTGATGGAAGACGGCAGAGAAAGACACATTTCCTATGCATCCAGGTCTCTATCAAAAGCAGAGCGGAATTATTCGCATATTGAGAAATAATCCCTTGCGATACAGTGGGGTGTGAAAAAAGTTCAACACATATTTATATGGACGCAAATTCACATTATTAACTGATCATCGACCACTGGTATCGATTTTCAACCCTGGTAAAGGTATTCCTGTTACAACCGCAGCACGTTTACAACGCTACACCATATTTTTGACTGGATATACCTATGATATTCAGTACAAAAATACTACTCAACACTGCAATGCAGATGGTTTGTCAAGACTACCATTAGACTTAAATGTTAAACAACAGGA